CTCGTCCTCCTCAGTCAATGTTCCCAGCAACAAGTCATCCAATTCCTTTTGCTTCTCGATTCCCTCCTTCGTGTCATCCATCACCCTCTCGATGTCCTCGATTGAGAGAATCTCGTGGAGCTTCTTCAGGGCTGTATTACCGGTCTTCAAACCGTCGATTACTTTAGCCTCGACTTGAGCGAATTCCAAGTCATGGACCATTGTCTCGATGTTCTCTAGTTGGCCATCAGTCTTTGTGAGTACTTGCTCCTGGAATTTCTTTTTCCGGAGGAGCAATAAGGCCCGTCTGTGGAGTCGATGGATAGTATTGATCATTACTCGAGTGATTGAATTTTGTTGTACGGAAATGTATAATTTGATGTGTTCAGAATGTTTATTTGTTTGATCCTATAAAAACGCTGGGAACAAAATCCGTGGCCCCAAGGAACACGATAGTTAAACTTTGCGGAGACAAAAGGTACATTTTGACATTTTTAAGACATTCGATTGCTGATTTGTTTTTAGAAAAAGATTATAAGAGAAGTTGTGACCCCAAGAGTCACAAGGATTAAACTTTGAGATGAAATCTTCAGTTTGGCGATTTTTTTACGACATTTGTTTGATTAATTGTAGCTACGGAAAGGTCGGAAAACAGATTTGTGACCACAAGCGTCACCAAAACCCGCGTGCAAATTTGGAGGGAGAATTTCCGTAGTTCCCGGTAGCTTAGTTGGGGGAGGTCCCGGTTCGAATCCCGACTGGGCGGTGCGGAATTTTTTGTCTCTAAATTCTAATTATCTTGGAATTTATAGTGAAAATTTATTGACAAAATATCCGCTGTGACTTGTTCATCATGTTTGTTCATTTGATGGTACCAAAAAATCGGGAGCGAAATTTGTCCCCTCAAGGGTCAAATTTGATGGTGACAGAATCACCGATTTGACATGTTTATCATCTTTGGTTATATGATGGACCATAAAAATTGGAAGCGACATCAGTGACCGCAAGGGTCACAAGCATCAAACTTGATTGTGACGAAACGTCCTGTATGAAATATTTATGACGGTTGTTTGGTTGATGTTGCACGGAAGTCGGAAGAGACATTTCTAGCCACAATAGTCACGAGAGTCAAACGTTGTGGAGACAAAATGTCAAGTTTGACAAATTTATGATGTTTGTTTAATTGATATTATAAGAAAGTTCTGAAAGAAATTTGTGACCTCAAGGGTCAGGACGCTCATTTTTTGTGGAGACAAAATCACCGATTTGACATGTTTATCATGTTTGGTTATTTGATGATAAAAAATGTCGGAAGCAAAATTGTGACCCTAAGCGTCAGGAGACTCAAATTTCGTGGAGTGGTCAAATGCTATGAACACCTTATCGCCTGTTTAGCAGTTGTTCATTTTATATGCCAAAAAGAGTAACAAAAAGGATGAAAAACAAATCTGTAACCACGAAATTTATGAAAAGTGTTGGAAAAAAAAACTCCTTTTTTCCCCAACACAGCATAAAAACATATTTTATCTACGTTAGGAATGATCGATAGCGACTGATGATTTTCAGTCTGGGTAAAAATATGGAATTTTTCTTGTAGATTTTCCCCAAAATTCTTATTGACAAATCTCTACCAAAAAATTTGTTGATATTTTCCTTTAACATCCTTCATTACTGAGATAATTAAATATTCATGGATTCAAATAACTCGTGTAGATATATAAAAATAAATAAAAAATTCTCACTCTTTTCTGTTATTTTTAATGAGTTTCCTCGCAATTGCCCGATCCTTCTCGATACTCTGCTCTATTCTCTTCTGATATTGTTTGATTTTGTCCCTCGTTTGTTTAAGTTGCTGCAACAAATTAATAGTAAATAATCAAGAATTAATGGAATTAGATATCCGTAGGTTAGAGTTTCGTATATCACGTTGTTCACGTACCAGCACTGCCTTATCTTGTTCGGTAATCCTACTAGGAGGTTTTTTCTTGGCGAAGAAAATACCCATTGTGTGTAGAAAAATATTATTTTGGAGTAAAAAGGGACTATTAATACTTTTTCTCTACCGAAGAACTAAGAACAAAAGCGAAAACTAATCATCTGTCGTCTCTGGCACAACACTATCTCACTGAAGTGACAGCCGATTTGCGTTCGTGTTGTCATATAGTGCTGACGCCTGCTGTTGATATTCGAGAGGTCTCTATTATCGCATAATGTTTCATTTATTTGTACCATAAGTTGGTGAGGAAGGAAACATTGGAAACAGACCTCCCGGCGTTGGTGACGGACGTATAATTAGCAGGCACCTAATGAATTTCCAAATGAAACCAATTCCTATCATTTCGGAATAATTTGGGATAGTTTAGGATTGCAATTTTATAGTTTAGGAACTAATAGTTTATAATTAATTACTTATTTATATATCGTATAGTTAGCAGGTGGTATGTATGACCAAATATCGGACTGGCTTAGATCAATTCGAAATCATTTGAGAAGGCCAAAAACATTGATTTTGAGTTTGGGAATTAATATTGGTAATTAGAGTATATAACTAGGTATAGGAGTTGCTATGTCATCTAATTACCTTAATATTTATTTTTTTAATTAATTTTTTTCTAATTTTGGCTCGGGGAGCTACTTGCGCATGCAGAGATTCCCCCGGAACGATCAGCTGTGCCATTAACGACACCCCCCCCCC